AATGTTTGAAAGAAGGCCTGGGACAAATTGTTCCATTCTTGGACAAGAGCAGCTTCTAAAACAGCAATGGTGTGCATCCGTGGTCTCCGATACAGACGGCGTCCAATCTCATCCCAGACATGTTCTCTCGGTGCCATGTCCGGAGACATGGCTGGCCAGTCCAAGACACTGATGTTGTTAGCAGCCAGGTAGTCCATACTAAAACGGGCGGTATGCGGACGTGCATTATTCTGTTGGAAGTGCCGAAGTTGTGGGTGCGCTCGAAACATCGGAACAACAATTGGTTGCAAGACATCATCACGGTAGGCTACAGCATTAACGCGACCCCTGCAAATGTGTAGGGCGGTCCGGTGATGAAATGTGAAGCCTCCCCACACCATTACACTTCCCCCACCCCATCGATTCGTTTCGAAGACGCAGCAGTCTGCAAGACGTCTCCACACACGGTAACGACCATCAGCGTGATAAAGATGAAAGCGACTCTCATCACTGAAGAGCACACTTTGCCAGTCTACTCTTCTCCATGTCTGGTGTCCTTGAGCCCATATCAAACGCCACTGACGGTGATGATCCCTGAGGATAGCTCCAACATAAGGTCGTCGTGCACCGAGTCCTACTTCTCTGAGACGACGTCTTACGGTGTTGGCAATTACTGGTCCTTGTCTTCCGACGACTGCTGCACCTGTTCGAGTCGCTGGGCGGAATCAGTCACGCAGATGAGTGACCCGGATGTAGCGGTCTTGAGCCTGGGTTGTAACGCGTTGTGGAGCAGGACGTTGACGGTCACGTGTTGATCCAGTAACTCGAACACGTTCCACCAACCTTACAATAGTGGACTGATGACAATTGAAGTGTCTGGCAATAGCACGTGTAGACATGCCAGCCCTGGACATTCCCATGGTTTCATTCCGTTGATTTTCAGTAAATCTCGGCATCTCTAGCTTGATTCCTTCACACGTCCAACAACAAATTACGACAGATTGACGTTTCACAGTTCATGTACTGCACATTAAGTTGAAAACATGCTTTTAAAGGGCTCACACACAATGCTGCACGTGAATATTGGGTTTTTCATGTGCATCTCGTGCAATTTCTTTTGTGCACACGGGCCGATATTTTTTGCGTTTGGGAGCATTGTGTGAAACAATAGTTCATAGTATTGCATAATATTCTACATACTAAACCACCTAGTAATAAAATATTTGGGAAAGAAAGTGATGCGTTTTCCATGGCGCTAAGTATATTATAAACCACACTGTAAAAAATATATGTAGCCGAATTCCGTAGTTTACTTCTTTTGTTAATCGATGTTATTTTGTGAAAAAATGTGTTAAAAGTGTGAATTATTTCTTCAAATTACTTGTTTGATGTATTTCTATGGAATATTCATTATTAAACGTGAAATTGCCGCGAAATAATATGTTTTGTTCCATTCTATAATGGACTTAATGCTGTTATTGTACGGGATAAACGGTGGAATATGACAAGGAATTGACAGATTATTTCTTTTTGTACATGCAGTTATTCTATTATTCCATAGCAACCATAATTGATTGTATACATATATACTATTCAAAAAAAGTAGGGGATATTTGATTTTGGGGGCATAATACTAAAATATGCAAATGACTACGAAAAAAGTCACTATAGAACCTAACAGAAGAAACATTTCCAGTTACATGTGACGCCCAAACGCACCAATAGCTACCGCATGGAATGCAGGTGATGCTTGGGATCATCATGGGGGTCCAACCCAAGATTTGCACGACTCTGACTTTGAATGTTACAGCCATTGTGGCATTGAATTCCAGGGTGGAAACATCAGTTTAATTGTTTTAGTGACCAGAAAACAAATTTTGATATGCGTCGGCTTACCCAAAATGAAAGGTTACGTGCCCTTGGCATGCTACAGATCGGCACAACACAGGCGGTTGTGGCGCGGACGATGAATGTTTCTCAGTCTGTCATAAACAGGCTATGGTCCAGATACCGTGATACACAATCTGTACAGGACAGGCCACGCTCAGGTCGACCAAGGGTGACAACTCAAGCCCAGGATCGATTTATCCGTACCTTGGCCTTGAGAAATCGTGTCATCACAGCAAATCAGATCAGCGCTCGTCTTCAAACAGACACTGGTGTGAGAGTGAGTGGCCAGACGATTCGGAATCGACTGCATAGGGGTCACCTTCGCGCCCGACGTCCTCGCGTGATCCCTTGTTTGAGAGATCATCACATTCAGGTAAGACGTCGTTGGTGTAGGGATCGTCAACACTGGGATAATCGACGCTGGAGCAATGTGATGTTTTCAGATGAGTCAAGGTTCACTGTTGATTTTTTGGACAGACGTAGGAGGGTGTGGCGTCGTCGAAACGAGCGCTTCCAAGACGTTAACGTCATCAGACATGATCGATTTGGGGGTGGTTCTGTTATGGTGTGGGGAGGCATCACTGTTGCTGGAAGAACGGCTTTACATGTTGTTGCAGGGCGTGTTACAGGCCAGTACTACCGGGACAACATCTTGGCAGTCCATGTTGTGCCGTTCGCACGACGTCATGGCCGCCGTTTCATCTTCCAGGATGACAACGCAAGATGTCACAGGGCCAGGATCGTTACAGGTTACCTCCAACAACAGAACATCACCACATTACCTCTCCCCCATCGAGCATGTCTGGGACATGCTTGGACAGAGGTTACGTCAACGTCAACAACGTCCTGCCAATGTCCAAGAACTTGCTGCTGCGTTGCAACAGGAATGGGACAATCTGGACCAAAATGACCTTAGACGTCTCATTAGGGGTATGCCACGTCGGATCAATGCTTGTTTGGCAAACAGAGGAGGATTTACCCGTTACTGACTTGGTTGTGATGCTGTGGTAACTTTGCTGTTTGACCCCGGGTATCATTTTACCCTTATAATGGTCAGTCTGTGCCTTACTTAGTCTAACGATCATTTGGAATAAATCGATGAATGTGAACTTCATTTCATTTTGTCATTTGTTTCTTCGTCAGTTTCATTAGGTGACTTTAATAACACTTAAAAATCAAATATCCCCTACTTTTTTTGAATAGTATATAATCATTCTTAATAACAGTGTTCATAACAGTTAAAAACTAAATAACGTAAATAGAATATGCTGAAAATTTCAACCAAATTGCTCCACTGTGAACCGAGATATTAGCTTTTGAATTTTAGACTAGCCTCGACCACCATTACTAAACTCTGTACGATAAAAAACAAAATCTCGATTATCCACTTTTACGTTTTAATTACTTTTCAAAAATGTATTCTAATCCGCTAAATATCGCAGGCTAGCGATGACATCGATCGTTATTTATGGTCTGGATAATTTAATTATAAATTAAGTACCGGTATACATTTCAGGCCTAAAGAAAGACCTGCAATGGGCAGATTTAGCTCTTTCATAATGTGTGTTTAACTATAAAATGGACAATCACATTTTGTAAATTTTGGTATATTACATGCCATGTATATCTAATTTCTATTATATATAAGATCTATAAAGCGTTTTGTTATTCATCATACGTTAATCCGATTGTAAGTATTTTCATAAAAATATGTTTTGATGTTCCTGTTGTCTGCCATATCACTTCGGTGGAAGCGGATGTTATTAAATGAACCTATTTGACACACACACACACCCTCACACTCCTACTGTAGGTTGTAATATCTCGTAATCTAGCACGCTTGAAGAAGGTTAGTAATACCGATTGACCATTTTGTCTCTACAGCAAAGTTCCCATACCTGCGAATTGATAATACGGCAAGCTTATACCCGAAAGCCTTGATTCGGCCCAATCACTGACGAGTAGCGGTTTCAGCCTGTGATAACTTTAGCTGACACCAGGCCATCCTCTACCAAACAGGATTGATTAGGTTATCCCGTGTTCTTATATTAGCGGTAAGGGGTTGAGCATTAAAATTAATGGCAACCCCCTTGCTTACCCTACCACAGCCAAGAGTTAAATGCCTCTTTTTCAGATAAGATTTTATTTCTTTTTCACTTTGAAAAATAGTCAGTTAAGAAGTGATTCAAGTTTCACGATATTTTGTGGTTTATGGATTTTGAAATATATTCTGGAAGCAAAGATTACCAGTAATTTTTTTCTGTATTTCAAAATTGAATTTATGTTAAAGGAGCTAAATCGTTGATATTTGGGACCTAGAAATTGACACAAATGGGTCGCAACGCATATAATAATGTAATATGAATGTATATAAACTGATTTACATTCAATCGTTTCTGTTTTTACTGTAATTTCTAATCAGTTATGTTCGGCGAAATGCGCCAAAGTCTCAATTAAATGACAATCTTTAGAGTCTGGTTATTTCAGTATACACCGATGATATTTATTGCGCATGCTCTCCAGATAAGAATATAGCGTCACCATTTGACATGACTTGTGGAATATGTCTAGCCTCGTTCTTTGAGTCCCTTGTTCCAAATGGCGCTAAAACGCATTATGGTACACGATTCGTGTACCAATGGTAAAATGTTTATTTTGTCTTGAATATTGGATATCAGACGCCCATCTTTTCCCTGTAAGATCACAAGATCAATATTGATTTAAATTGACAAATAATTTGTGTTTTCAATGTCGAAGATTTTTGATGATATCGAGTTAGAGACTTAGCTACTTTAATTGAAGGAATTTCTGTAAATTACAAGAAAAACAAATACGGATAATTTTCTTGTTTCCAGAACTTTTTACGTTTTTTTCACGGATTATGTTGGTTGTTACAGTGTAGTTTTAGCAAACCATAGTGTATAACAATTCCCAATATACGATTAAAAATAAATCGTTGTAAAAATATTGTGTAATGGTAACTAATCTTGTTGAAAATTGTGTGAATTACGTAGAGAAATTATGTGTTAGCTTTACTAGTTCATGCAACCCGTAAAATATAACAGTTTTAAACGCGTACGGTTAACAAAATTATTATAAATATTACATAAATGTTTATGTGAACACCAGTAGCTAAAGCATACATTTTACATAAATGTATATAAGGGGTGGACATAAGTAGCCAAAGAATAACGTGGCATTGGAACTGACATGATATACACTTTACCAATTGTCATAGATCATAACTGCTATATTGACAATATAAAACCAGGGGCGATTTTTTGTTGAGTTTATAACTAAAACAGGGACCGCTTGCCGGGTTAGAGGAGTGACCGTGGAATAAAGAGATGAAACAATAGAATTTCTACGGGGGCAATTTATCGTGACCGCATACAAGGAGATATCGCTGAACTGGAGCTGCTGCCCGTACAGATTCTAGTTTGCCAATATATATATCTCCAAGTGCCGACATTATACAGACATAAATTTGTTAAAGTATAAAAATAATTGTGAAGTTTATATAATTTTAAATGCTTTAGTGACAAAATGATAATTTTTTAAAATAGTGTATAATATGTGTATGCTGACCAAACAGTGGACAAACAAAAGTAAGTGTATCATAAGTGCAGAAATAAAATTTGCTTGGAATCAAATCACCCGAAGTGTCGATACTTTACAGCCATATTAGTTTGTGAGCGTATATTAATGTTAGTAAGGTTGATATAGATAACAACTTTAAAATATTATACGAGTACATACTATGACAAAAAAGTATTCATATATATATTTGGACGAATTAGATTTAGCTGCAACTGGGCTATTTTTTTGTGTGAAAAAGAAAATCTCCAAAATCAAGTGACGTAGAAGAATGTGTGCTTCAATAAAGCACATTGGTCATGATATCAACCCTATTCATCTGGAGCAACATATTCCTATAAGTAATCTTATGAAATACCAGTTTGTAGAAATCATGTTTGGTCGGAATCATTGTTCAGCGTTGTTGCACTTCTGGGGTGTGGTGTACAGGTAATGTTAACTGAAAAATGTCAGAGATAGTTGCAACAACCCCAATCACTAACCAGGTATGGTTTTGAGAATTAGAGAGGAAATACGTCTTATATAGTAACCGTGACTTAGAAGAACATTCCCAGTGACTATTGCACATTAACCCCGTAAACTCCACGTATAATTTCTGGTTTTGTATTTATGGACTTGATTCGCCTCCAGGATGGGTGGTACAATAGTTTAAATCCTACTAGTCGCATTTATGCTAAGGTGATCACCATTATCAGTACTTAACATTAAGGCACAACCTAAAATTATTCATTGCTTAATTTTTTTCCTTTTGCAAATCCAGCAAATAGGGTGTCCAGAATAAATCTAATGGCCTTTCTATAATTATCCTCCATACTCAAAGTATATCGTTCTCCCAGTGTATCTTTTACTGCCACAAGAAATGGTTCTTCAATAAGCTGAAAAATACATTTTAAGAAACATTTATTTTCAAATCAACAAATGGTATTAAACCGAAAACACCGTTGTCTTCCATTTAATGGCGACCTGGGTTTGACTACATCCCGCACCAGCCCTGCAGTTACTTCCATGAATACAGCCATTAATGCTGCGAAATTTAAATTAAGGCTCAGATATTATCAATATGTTTGGAATCACTTGATCACCTAGCATGCTTAGTAGTTTCCTACAGATAGTTCCGTTTTCTTTCTCCGACTAACTCTTAAAGCTGCTTAAAAGACTTTGACTTTTTTTCGCAGTGAGTCATGGTCATTATGTTGGTTGAAAGTAGTTTCGCTCAAATATAATCACTGTTCTGAAAGTATGAATCGACCCTACAGTGATATTTAAACAGGATTAATATGACATAAGTGGACATTCAATAAGTGATTTCTGGTTATTTTCGCCGCAATGGTGTTTGTTGTTTTTTTGCCACGATACCGGGTAAAGGTCGTAGTCATCTACGGCCTACGTCTTATATTACTAAGCATAATACTTGCAGGGTATATTTTCTAATAATTTATTCAAACATAATTATTGTTGTTTTATTACAACCTAAATATCATCGATTGTACTGCTGAGTTAAAGGTGTCCCAGTTAGTAATATATACAATGTACAGATGACACTAATCTATACTTATTTGAATATTGTTAAATGTTAACCTATCAATTGTTTTTATCCTTTGATTTTATAAATTTAACACCGTCGATCATTTAAGTAACTGTTATTTTACGCGAATTGTCGCAAGATTTGGCCTTTTAATTTTCTGGAGATCGAGGTCTCAACCAGTTGATAGGAAGTTGTTTGGCAACAACATATGTTTTGCCATCAAACTGTATACTTATAATGTGCCGATCATTATCTAGTTGCTCTGGTGACTGCTGTTGTCGTTAAAATGGTTTATGCAACCACGGCGCTTACATATCCTGGAGATGCTACGCCAAGAACAGTTGGGAAATGGAGAAATCCCAACTTGTGAGCGGTGACTGATATGCGATACGCACATCGGCTTTACATATTAAAATCACCACTCAAGGAAGAATAATATAATGTTACAGGTGCTAGATAGTAGTTGATTGTTAATTTAATCGAACACCAGAAACACCAACAATTGATGCTTATACAAAAACCTGATTTTTGCTGGTAACTGTTTTGAAAAATTCAATTTAAATGAGTATGGATATGATTGATACTGCGACAATGAAGTGATTTGTCTTTGCCTTGTTAGATGGCGTAAGCATAGACACCATTTTCCCCTAAATTTATTTCTATAAATCGCCTGTCCAACCTTGTGGGTTTTCTCCGCCCCCCCCCCCACACACACTGCTAAAGACCCCTACGCGCAAGCGAATTATTGAAATAAAATTGAACCGTATGTTAGTCCCGAAATGGAGTGCTTTGTGTCAAGTGGACGACTCCAAATCCACTGGATTTAAAACAACGTAATTACTTACCAGGAACCATTCAGGTAAAAATCCAGTAAAACGCACATGAGTTTCACCGACGTGGGTTAACATGTCAATCACGTGGTCTGCATCGTTTAATGTTGTCATTGCTTCATCGATCGTCAACATGACGGACGCAACATGACTCTGTAATTTCTTGTTCTCGGCCAAATCACTCAGCGATTTGACATCAGCTTTCAATGTCTTGACAAAGAATAATCGGACAACCTCGTGCTTTTCAAATAAACTGAAAGAAAAAAAGGTGAATTTTATCCTAGCAATGTACGACAGTAGCTTTTTGGCACCTAGGAAACACCCCAAATACAACTAGCTTTTAGATATTCGGTCCATTTATTAATGAAATGAAATGGGGTTTAACGTCCTACTGTTTTCCTCCGAACTGGGCTAATGAACACGGGCAAACGCCATCCTATGTGGTATAAGGAAAATGTGTACACGGGACCTCGTTTTTTTTCCCATCCAAACGACTAGACAGCTGTCCTTGTCAGACCCTCCATCCTGCATCACTGGGTGCGGGGGGGGGGGGGGGCACGCCGGAAAACCTGGATGAACTTTCTCGGCCAATGCAGGGATCGAACACCCGACCTCCAGGCTAGCGAGCCAGCGTCTTACCCATTTAGCCACCGTGACCCTTATTCTCGTATAATTGTCATCTAATTACAGGTTAGACAATAGACTAATAGGCCCATCGCATCACCATAATATACGGCACGATTTGTTTTAATTTTGATAGTCCAGTCATTCAAATGACTGAGAAATCAAAGTATTCTTAACAAATTTGGGAAGTGTTTTGTGTATCAATGGTATTGATTGACTGATAGATATTGAGTCGACCAATAGTATCCAATGCATTAATGAGTAGGTTATATTTATAGCCATGGGACAATGCCCATGGTTTATTTTAGCACTATGTGAATTTGTCGGAAAAGGGAAAGTTGTCTATAAAATAAAAGAATTCCAAGGTATGCATCCCATTCAATTCCCGAAGTATTAATTGAAAATGAAGGGTACTAACAAGATTTCGTAGCAAGGGTGCATTGGAACTATCATCAAAAATAATTGAGATATATATGATTTAAAATGCGTAGTGGACATTGCCCTAACATGGTTTGGTAAAAAAGGGGCAAACTCAACGAAGTAGGTTTCGTTCTCAGGATATGATACACCCGTAAAAATATCCCAACGGTCTTATTGGGGCCTTTATTGTGTTAACTAAAGTATGTTAAGACAATGGAGTCTAACCACAGAATTGATCTTGAGAAGATTGCGGTCAAGATTGTGGTTCTAACTCCCTGTGAAAAACATATTACGCGCAAATAACTGTATCTATGTTCTTAAGCGCGGGAGCCACGGTGGCTCGCTGGCCTGGGGGTCTAGCTGTCTAGTCCTTCGAATGAGACGAAAAACCGAGGTCCCGTGTATATATTGGAATGCACGTAAAAGATCCCCTGGCAGTTGGAATTCGATATAAGAGTAGGCGATAGTACCGCTGCTCGGGCAAAATTTCCCTCATAGCACACTGTATGATGGATGCCTGTCTTCATTAGCCCAGTATAGGAGCAGAACAGTAGGACGTTAAACCCCATTTTATTCCAGTTCTTAAGCGCAATTGTGGATGACAGACGGGTGTATAACGGTACAATACGGACACATTAAATTCTGCACTCAACCCAGGTCAACAAGAAATTATTTAGATACTAAAGAGAAAGCCAATAATAGACGTCAGGGCATTACTTTTAGTTTTAAGTGTTAAAACTGAAACAATATATTAGATCTTGTTTAAAACAACACGGAAATTGATATTTTTCTTGATATATAATGAAGTGCCACAGGGGACCTTCGATTTGTCAGTCTGGACCGCTTTGATAACAATAATTTTTAACATCCATTATCATTCTCCAAATAATATGGTTTAGATTAAAGATAAATGTTAATGATGCCACAGGGATATGTAAAACAGATCTAATTATTTTAGTGAAGTTGGTGTTTGTCGGTTATATTTGATTGTTGTTTATGGATACAAAGTGTACATATACAAAAGATTAATATTATTATTTATGAAGTAACATTTATAAAATCCCTTCAATAACAATTATAAACGGACATTAAGGAATAATAGACACAAACAAAGTTAATTGATATTGAGATATAATGTCAGTAAATACAGACACAAAGGAAAGAACATAATCCATTTTGTAGTATAATTTGAAATAATAACGAAATATGTGTTGAATAATACCAATAATATCCTATTTGTAAACTGTTTATTCTCAACATGCTGTTTTCCCCATAGTCTAGTTTGTATTTTATCCATGCTTCCAACTCACGGCATATCGATATTACGTATTTGCACTGTATTTCAAGTGTTCTCGGTCAAATCGTTGTATTGAGTTGATAGTGACACCTACTCAAACTGTGCTCTATACGATTCGATGACCAGTATTGAATTAGTTTTACTAATAAATAAAACTTGTGTGAACACAAGAGATTTTAATATCATTTAGCTGTTAGTTCTAGATAACTCCACATATTATACAATAGATAAAAATACATTTTGTATTCACCACTTTTTGATAACAACTACTGTATATTAATCGTCCGTGGAATGTTTGTTTATGAACCCGTTAGCGTTGAAAAATTAATTCGTGCTTGTAAATAAATACCGAGATGATCAAATAATGAAAATTAAAAAAAAAGACCGCTTAGGAAAAGTATTTAAAATAGATCGGGTCCACTTTGCGCTAATTCTATAAAACGTATACATGAAATTATTCTAAACCAGCTGTCGCCAGGCAAGTTACGCCCACATTTTGCAAGAGATGGATAGAGAACAAGCTATAAACAAAAGCGATTTTTCGTACAATCAGGGGCAATAATCCAGAAAGTTATGGCCTGAAATGCGCAAATATCGAAAGGGGCTGAGATCTTTGGGATATAAAAATATATTTCAAGTTTTTATCAAAATCGGATGAAAATTGTGACCTCTAGAAGGTCCACAACCTTCGTATTAAATACTTTGCGTTTTGTCGGGCAGTTCGTTTCGATTTTCCCCTTCATTATGGTGGAATAGTGATATATTTAAATGGTTTTTAAAATAGGATAAAACATTATGACCTCTAAGGAATACACACACTAAAAGCACGATTTTTCGTACAATCAGGGGCCAAAATCCAGGAAGTTGCGGTCTGATATGCGCAAATAGCGACAGGAACCGAGATCTTTGGGACATAAACATATATTTAAAGTTGCATCAAAGTCGGATAACAATTGTGACTTCTAGATGGCCCACAACCTTGGTATGACATACTTTTACACTATTTGCGTACAAGGAGCCGCCATTTTGTCTGATTTTTACGAAATTGGAGCTCAACTGTCATTAGGGTGTAACGGGTGATAAATTTAAACGGTTTTCTAAAAATTGGATAAAAAATATGACCTCTAGAGGGTCCACAAGCTAAAAACGCGATTTTTGGTACAAACAGGAGCCACAATCCAGGAAGGTACACAGTCCGATATGCACAAATATCAACGGGTCCACAACCTTGGTATGACATACTTTTACACCATTTGCGTAATATGGAACTCAACTGTCATTAGGGTGTAACGGTGATAAATATAAACCTTTTTATTTAAAATTGGATTAAAATTGTGACCTCTAGAGGGTCCAGAGAAGTTACAGTCCCATATGCGCAAATAACAACAGGAACCACGATCTTCGAATTATAAACATGCATTTCAATTTTCATCAAAATCAGATAAAAATTGTGACCTCTAGAGTGTCCATAAGCTAAAAAACGTGATTTTTCGTACAATCAGGGGCCATAATCCATGAAGTTATGGTGAAACACATGCCAATATCGAAAGGAATCGAGATCTTTGGGAGATAGACCTATTTCATTCATGTTTCGTCAAAATCGGATAAAATTGTGACCTGTAGTGGACTGACAGACAGACGGACGGACGTCCGGGTGGACAGCGGCGACGACAATATACGTCCACATGAAAATGTGGGCGTATAAAATTCCATTTAGAATAAGATTTTAGGAATGGACAGTTATTAAACAAAATTACAGTTACACGACATGGGCAAATGCCAACAACTCACTAAATTGTAAAGCATTACATGAAATTAAAATATACTTTCATCTAACCCATCACTGCATCAGTCCGGGGTAACTGGGTAGCGAGTCAGCGCCATCCTCACTGAGCCACCGCGGCACCTTGACGAGTCGTAGACCTACACATTTTCAAATTGTTCAGCAAAGGCCGGGGATTTGCTCTTAGTAGGCCAGTGAATCTATTAGGTCTATATCTTGAATACAATGTTATCCAAAAATTAATGGATTGATAGGCCGAAATAGTATAGAACAAGATACAAAATAAATTTATTCATAGGCCTGAATCATTACATCAGCAATGGAAAGAAAAGAACGGATAAAGTTGAAAGTTGTGGTTAAATTGCAACAAGTAATAATATTTTAAGGAATTAGATGAATGAAGAAATATAGAGATCAATGAATATTTTAAAGTTAAATATGTCAAAGATAAATCAATGAATGAAACACAGATAAGCTAATATTTAATGAATTTAGTCATTAGAAGACATAGCATTTCTTCGTTTCGTTGTGAATTTTCCGGTAGTTCTAATTTTTACAGTAAAATAAAACAAATACGCGGGAAATAAAGCAATACCGATCATCAAGTCGCATTATCCCTGCTTTTTGGCGTTCGCCGTTTTTGGAGAGAGAGAGAGAGAAATGGGGTTTAACGTCCACTCGACACAAACTAGGTCATTTCGGGACTAACATATGGTTTAATTTTATTTACATAATTCGCTTGCGCGTAGGGGTCTTTAGCAGTGGGAGGAAACCGGAGGGCCCGGAGAAAACCCACGAGGTTGGACAGGCGACCCTACTCCTTGCCACGTACAACCGGGGATTCGAAACCACGCCAGTCGACTCAATGACAGACTTTATGATACAGCGCGCGCACGCTAACCATTCAGCCATCCCCCCCCCCCCCCCCCCCCCGTCGTTTTTGGAGAATCAGACACCGATATTCACCCAATTACTTGGAGGAACTTCCATGCCAGTTAGAAAAGCGGATATAACATGTACGGCGTCGACACAAACAAGGTATTACCGCTTAAATGTCAATCACGTTAAAATGCTCAACGTTTCAGTGAAATATAGATCTGAAGTCGATATGAAATATGGTATTCCCATG